TGCATTCGATGCTGGAAATTAAGGTGTTACAGTAACAATTTAACTGCGTATGTTAGATTGGCCAAATATTATTTTCTTGGTAGCGAGTCAAATAAAAAAAATAAAAAAAAGTAGAAGAAATATCGTATCGCCGTCGATGACGATTCGTACGAATCGGATCGCGCCGAGACACAACAAGAAAGCAACAGAGCGAAAGAGAGAGAGAGAGAGAGAGAGAGAGAGAGAGTGCAAAAAGAGTCACCTTACTTTACTTTCGTAGCGCTATATATATGCGGTCAACGGTAGCGTTTGCAGCTGCAGCGAAAACATACACAATCGATCCTCGCGATGACCACACAAGCGTGTATATATAGATGGAGTATGTTGTATTCGTCGATCATCGATCAGCGCCGCGATGCAAATGATATAATAATTCAAGTCATGCGTGTAAGTGCATCGTTTGCAGCTCTAGGAGCGCTGACTGGCGCGCGCGCGCGCGCGTGCTCACCGCCGGACGTACACTATTCCAAGTTTTTAGATGAATCACGCACTCGATCGCTCGAGAGTAGTTTTCTCATTGTGTAACATTGCGAGGAGGAAAAAAAAAGGTTTTTTTTTGTCTCTTTTCGCCCATATCGGCGCGCTGATTCTAATTTGAATATACGCGCCTGATAACATTGAAATTAAATCGCGATATACATGAGCGACGGCATATTTGCACGCCTTGAAATTCAGAATGTCTGTACATATAAGTGGCGTGTGCGCGACGGCATTATGTACATATAGACATGCTATTATTGATATAAAGTCGCACGCGCCTGTAATAGCCGTCAATAGACATTTGGCTCAGTCTCGCTCGATCGCGCGGCTTCGGCATAATATCGACATTGGCAAATTCTGCGTCTGTGAACCCCCCGCCCGTGGCCGCCTCGAATATACACACGTATTATACGCGCACTGCGACTTTATCGCCGGAAAGAAGTCTCGAGATGCAGATTAAAACACAGCAATTGCATTAGCACCTATATATGCGGCACGGGCCGGCCTATATATATACGCGTGCGGTGCTTATTGCCGATCGCCTCGAGAGAAAAACTCGTCTGTATACAACTCGCGATCGAGAGCTCGTACGCGTGTATATACTCGCGTTTGATTAGCCACATGAGTTCTCTCTCTCTCTCTCTCTCTCTCTTCCTTTTTTTCAATTTTGTTTTCTCGATTTTTGTTCAACAGACTCTCGCGCGTTGAAAAGCTCTCGATCGGCTCGCGATTTCGCAACTGCATCGCGGCAAAACGTTATAATAGTCGCGCGCGATAGATTTATGAAAATTCCGCGGTGATAAATTGCCATTTGTAATTATTCTCGATTTATATATATTTGTGTGCGAGTGTTTGTACTGCTGTATGCGCGCGCTCGTGCGTTCGAGTCGAAACGATCTTAATGGACTCGTACGATAAGGCGCTTTTCGCGGAAAATTTTTGCATGCAAATGTCTTCATATATAGGCGCGCTGCCGCGTATCATAAAATGCGCACCGCACGAATTTCCGAATCCGCGTGCACGTGCGAGAGCTCGTTGGGAATTACGTCACCTCGATGCACACACAACTCATATCGGCATGGAAATAAATTGCCTGCAAATTATAGGACGCGTAATACTTGTATCCCGTTTTACTCGCGCGCCAAGAACCTAATTTGAAGAAAATGATTTTTACTCGCTCTGTCTCTCTCTGTTTGCTATCGGTGATGAACTGCGAGAAAAACTTGTGTATGTGCGCGAGTTTATAATATACATCTAGCCGCGTAGTTTCTGTGTGTGCGCGCGCGCGAAGGAAGAGATACGTCAAGGCTTGAAATATTGAACGAGCGCGAGATTTTAATTTGATCATGCAAGGAATCGAGGAAAAGAGCTCAAGATATAAACACACACACACTTGGCTTAGGCTGTGAGAGCCACGCAAGCCATAAGGCATGATGCAGACCTTATCTCTCTCTCTTTCGCGTGTGCCTTCATTTACCCAATAGGCGCACCGTATACGTACGATATATATGTAGCGCGATCTCTGGAGTCGGCAGCAGCAGCAACAGTTCGCGCGCGAGATACGTGCTATATTTATACACAATATACAGGTATGTACACGGCAGCCAACAAAAATACTTCCACACGTGGCTCGCGTGATTTTTTTCTCCCCTCGCATATCGGTGATCAAGCCGGAGATCGATGACCACGATGCAATTAAAGCCAGAAACCCGAAGACACGCGTGTTAATTTGCAAAGCAGCGCAAACGAACGAGCGACCCGGCGCTAAAACTACCGCACACGCCACCCAACATCGGCTGATGGGTAGATATGAACGAGTATACGGTTAATCGCAGTTGGATCGACACGTTTACGTAAATTACAAATGTGTATCACGATTGTATCACGACTGCATTGTGGTTGATGTCGCGCTGCTAATACCATTCTACAAATGAAGTATCAATTAGAAAAGTACGAGTCACATTTTTATGCATCTACAGAAGCGCAAAAACAAATTTTTGATGTAAAATTGTTAATCCAGATTTTTGCTTAAAGCTAAAGTATAAGTAATGACTAATCATTTTCACTTTAACTCTAAACGGACTTTTTTTAGAAGATACTATAAAAACCTTCGTTTTATTTAAAGTTGCTAAATTGTTTTATATTAGATGTAATTTGAAGTTTTAAACATTAACTGATATAAAACTTTAAAAATATTAGCAGCATTTTTCTTGAGTGATTATATAAAAGTGGGACAACAATTGTAATGTCGTTTGAACAATCAATCTTGAGCTTGTACACCCACGAAGATGTGACCTAAAGGTCGTGAATTTTAATAATTTTCATGTTTTTGTTTATTCAAGCGAACAAGCGTTTGGCTCTTCATTTTTGGACAGCAACGCGGTTGACGCGATGCATCGTTAAGAACAGTCGAAACAGCTTTTCAGAATTTCCGCAGCGTAGGTGCTGCATCCCATAGCACTTACACTCGCGCTCGCGCACATGAAGCGATCGATTCTCCGATCATAAATCTTGCCTCTTTTATATATTCGAAGGCTCCACATATACATAGGCACGAAAGGCAAACACACACTAGTGAGAGAATATAAGCAGATCTTGCTTAGGGATAAATTCTCCGTTGGGATGATGTATGGACCTAGCGAGTCGAGCCGATGCTCAGCCTCGGCTTCGGCGATCGGCGCATAGGCTTCCACTTGCGCCTCACGCAGCACAGGTGCGAGTGAGATCATTAGACGCGCGCATGTGTGTATATGAACTTCAAAAAGAAGCGAAGATCGGAGCGATTCGGTAAAATACCATACCTACTTGCTTGCGCGTACGCGTTGCATCTCTCTCTCTCTCTCTCTCTCTCCTTCTCTCTTTTCTCTTTGGCTCAACTATGACGAAGTATTTTGTATATAAACTGCCGATCGAGCTCCGCTAAGAAAGAGAGAGAGAAAAGGCCGGGCGGTCAATCGATCGTTTCCGTTTCGTAATATGCGCAAATTGTGTTAGCTCCGTGAGCGAGAGAGTTAGCTCTGGAGGCCCGCGTGCACAAATAAGATAGTGAATTTGATAAGCAGCAGCCGTTTACTTTTACGGTATAGACACACGTAGAGAGGAGCGTGGCCAATTAGATGCGATATAGATTTAGTTACGAGCTCGTACGAGATTACACATTTATATACAAAATGTGCCAGAGAATAATTTCTCAGCTGGAATCGGGAAAGTTATTAAATTATACCATAATCTTCGCAGCAACCATATCGACGAGCCGATAAAAGGTTTATTATTGCTTCGCGCGTGAGATCGGCGCACGCTCGCGCTCGATCGAGGTTGAGCTTTTGTGCATCAATATCGTTTAGGAAAATATTTTACTGCAGTTGCTAGGACGTATATAAGCCGAACACATGTACGAACGTCGTCTTATGGGCCGCGCAAGAAATCGCTTCGGAAGCTCGCAGTGACTTTTATACATACATTCGATATTATCTTTTTAATCGCGCGCATCGAGAAGTAGAGAGAGAGAGAGCCTAGAAGCGTCCCTCTATGAGCGTTTTTTGTTGCTCCTCTTAAAACTCGTGTCTCTCTCCCTCTGCTTCTGCTGCTGCCGCGCGCAAATCGAGAATGAAACAAAAGCGTGGCTCTGGCATTAGTATAAGTTTAAACGCTGCTGCTTTGCCAAGCTGTGTACGTATAAGTTCGGCTTGCGACTGTGCACATGCTGCGCGACGACCTATGTATGCCTATATACTACATACGAGCTACCGTGAAAGAAAACGAGTATAACTGCTTTGGCACGATCGCTATCTTCCAAACGGACTGTATTATACGTGCATCGTGCCTATACCTTTACCTATGCACGTATTTGTGTGTCTGTGTCTGTGCGCGAGTGGCATTTAGCCGGCAGATATCGTCGCCTAATGCAAAGCGACTATGCACTTGTACGCTTGCGAGCTTTGGCTGCCACTTATATATCGATATGCACTTGATGCTCGGGCCACTATATATATCCGAATAAATGAATGCCAATGTGTGTAGTCTCATACGAGAGAGAAATAATTGTGTCTCATAAAAGATGTTTCGTTGATTGTTGTCACAGGGACTCGAATGAATTTGCGGGTGCGGCGAGTGCGGATGATCGGGTAATGGACGTCGCTGCTCGGCCCGACCACCGATTAGCTCTAGAAGCAGAAACGTACGACGACGACCAAGAGTCGATCCTCGACGGGCCTATATGCCATTATCGAGCCACAACGAGGCCGCCGACGACGACGACGGAGCCGATGTCAATTCAGCCGTATCTCCCGATCGGGCCATAGTAATAAGAAGAAGAAGAAGAAGCTGAGAGATTATTCATCGTTTCGACGCACAGAACACGAGTACACGCGTAAACGCTCGTACAGTACAGCCGACGAGGAGAGCAGCAGCGCGTGCTCGAAATCGTGAGAGAGAGAGCAGCAATACGGACTAAAAACGTGTGTTGTGCGATATCGTCGAGCGCCGTGTCCTGGGGGGCCTATATGGACGCCCATGGCTGGAATCTGGCCGAAATGTGCCAGCGCTACCATCACGCCGGCGGCGTCGCGAGCGCACAGCAGCAACAGGCGGCAGCAGCGGCGGCGGCCTCGTCGCCGGCCCGCGAACAGACTCACACACCCGGACTGCAGCAGCAGCAACAGCAGCACATCGATCAACCTAGTCCATCCTATTCGCATTACACGTGAGTCTTTTGGCCATGTTGAATCTTCATTTCTCCTTTTCCTTTTTTTTTCGTTCGTTTTCGTTTTGTTTTGTACCATACAGAAAAGTGCAGTGGCTGCGCTCCGATGGTATTCTTAAGATTTCGGAGATTTAGAGAAACAACGACCTTTTTGGTCCACGAGTGCGCGTATGTGTGTGTGCGCGCGATAAAAAAGGGGGAGCTATATAAACCTGGAGAGCGAGACACATACACGAAGCCGCGCCGTGCCGAGATCTTATGCCGATATCGCGGCCGATGCTCGGAAATTTGCGCCCCGCGCGTTCCCCAAATGCGGCGAGCTCTTTTATATTTTCTCCCATTTAACGATCATAATAATCATTCGGACAATCGATTCGATCGAACGATTATTTCATTTTATTTTACTTCATTTTATTTTTTTACTTTAGAATAACGACGATCGAGAGATCGCAAAATCATCCTGAGCTGTTAGTTAGATCCAGGCCTTTTATACGCGTATATTCGCTTAATGAAACGCGTGTCGACACGTATACATCAGCGGAGCTCCGCACAGAAGCCGTGTATACACGTATATATATATAAACCGCAATAGCTGTCGAGATGTGCGCTCGAGAGCTCGTATAATATGCGCGCATTCTCGAGGCGCCGCGCAATTGCAGTAAATGTGCCGCGCGTATATACACGTATACCGCAGAGATTGCGGAAAAACGTCGCGGTGGGACTTGGAGTTACGATATATACCTATATACGTTTACACTGCATTCGTACATATTCGCACACATTCGCGTACTCACTCGTTACATTTGCGAATCCGACGAATCGCGTATTCGCTCCTCCTCCTTCTTTTTTCTTCCCTTTCTCGCGGCTACTATGCAACGAGCGGCAGTAGCAACATTTTTCAGTAGCTCTCAAAGCGGCTGCTGCAAATGTCACGTAAATATTATTGAGGTACGCGCTTTTTGCCTGATAAATCCTCTCTCTCTCTCTCTCTCTCTCTCTCTCTTTTATGGTAAATTTAATATTATCAGAGCTCTTGAGGTGCGCGAGCGCTAATGTTCAAGTGGACTTGCGATACAACATTGTAGGTGCGCTACCGATCGGGGGCTACATCGACAATTTAATCGCCTTTTTGTACTGCGACAGAAGAAATCATTCACAGGGTTTACTGTCTTTATTGTCAAGAGAGAAAGACGTGGAGTAATTCGGTTGAAAAGTAATATGTTCATTTGACACATCGATAATCCCCTAACGGGTGTTATAAACGGTAACAGTTGCATATAATATTTTTGAAGATAGATAAATGACTCCTGCGTAGTCTTGCTAACGATGCTTGACCTGATGTTATTTGTCATTCCTTCGTTTCTCTTATTGCAAGGGTTAAATCAATTTTTCCTTTTTAAATATGAAAACGTATAATCTTTTCATAAAATGCTCCAAAATTATTACCGAGGAAATAAAAATTATCCTTCGCGTATTTGCGTCTCTGATCGTAAACAACGTCCTTTTTTGTCTAAATGCGCGCGTGTGCGTCGAAGCTCACACGCAGGGCGCCCAAGAAAATGCGCTACACTGCACGATCGCTTGTGTCAGCTGCCAGAGGCGCAGACGAGCTCTGGCGAAGTAAGCTACACTTTGGCAATTTCCGCACATTTTCAATAAACGCGAAAGACAAATAATACAGGCGAAATCACAGTTCTTGGGCACAGGCGCACGTTTAGCTGTTGGCGATCGGGTCGCGAAAACGATCATCATAATCATCCTCATTATATCATCGCTGTTATAGAGCTCGCGCGCGTGTACGCGAGCAAGGAGAGAGGAAGTCGAAAGACAAAAAAAAAGAAGAAGAGGAGACGAAAAATACGTACTTGTACACACGCTTGGTGTGTGTATATGGAAACGGCTTATCACCTTGTAAATTCCACGAGGCTTGAGACAAAAATCAATAATCCACATCGCGATGACGACGACGACGACGACGACGACGTTGATGATGATGATGGCGATGATTATGATGACTACACACGCTAAGGAGAAGGAGGAGAAGAGCTGAGGTCGCTTCGGAGGGCCTTGCGGCGTCGCCCGAGCTAAAGCAAACAGCCAATGCTTATCTTCCGGAAAGCGGCGAAAATTGTATTACATTATATCCTCGTGTTAATAAACGAGGCTTATACATACACCAGCCCGACTTTATATACACGTACGAGCACGTCATCCTGTTATTAGGATGAGCACATATATACACGCACACACACATGTACAATTTATAGATAGCCGCGATCGAAAAAGAAGAGAAAGAAAAAAAAACGGCAAAGGCAGGCGCCCGCTGGGCACAAATTACAATGAGGCGTGGTGAAATGTATATAAGCTATACATGTGGGTATATGCGCCGATCGACAACGAGCGAAGCACGCGGGACCGATCACTCCTTTAACCTTTCGCATATTATGTATCGCGATGCGTGTGTGCCGCGTGTGTGTCTTGAATTAACGGCATGATTTTTTGCTTCTTTTCTCGGAAAATTTTCCGTCATTTTTTCGCAAAAAATGCAAGAAATTTATTCTTGTAAAAGAGCCGTATATGACGAGGATGAAAATCAAGACGATGCCTCCCAGTACGAATAAGTTTGGTAAGAGTGATGCGATGGACCATGCATGGCTGTCACGATTGACGTGCGTATAAAGAGCTACAATTTGCAGACTCCTTTTTTGTTTTTACATAAGTGCGATGCGTTGATTTACAAGCACCGAATTTTAATTACCATTTTAAAAATCGGCAACGCATATACATCTTTTCGAGTTGGACAAGCCGCAATTATGACGCTTTAACACGTCCTGTTGGATGTATGATTTTTCAAGTGCACACTTTTCGCGCAAACGGAGCATAGCCGCGTGCGAGTTTAACAGTATGTTAAGAAACTCGGCAATGTAAGTACCTGGAGAAACATGGTGAAAATTGCTATGTTCACTGGAAGAAATTGTACAAAGTCAAACTATGGCGGTTTTCAGTTATAGAATATGGTAATATTAATAATACTTTATAACAAACATTGTTACAACGATATTCTATAACTGAAAACCAGCGAACTTACAAATGTTTATGGATCGCATACAAAATTCTTTCTTTTCTTTGTTGATGATTCGCTACAAATTTACGCGAACAGGCCGATACATCCGATGACAAAGATGACGCTACCTCGCTGCTACACTTACTATAGATATGTGACTCTAATGAAAAAATTTAACAAGCTATAGTTCGCGATGTTACGCAAGGCTGAGCAAAGTCACCGTGGCAAGAACTGATAAAAAAACCTTTGCGTGCGCGCAGTGTATTTAATATAAATATCTCACCACGCCCGATTCTCATTTCTGATTTCTCCATCCGTCAGTGTCTTTGAGGTTGTGACTTTGACGCACCACTATTATCACATCCTCGTACCCGATTACGTGCTCGATTTATTGTTACAAAAACATTTATTACGAGCGACGCGTTCGATACGAACAAAAAAAAAAGTGTCCAGGGTGAGAGAGACGAAAAAATACAGAAGCGAAAAGTTCGCGTATAAACGCTATACTCGTCGTACATTATATCTGTGTATAACGCGAGGCTCTTCGCGCTCGGTCACGCTCGGATCGGTAACGTCGACTCACGGCCGTCGCTGCTGCCGCCGACGCCACGCCGAGCCGAATGTCCATCGTTTCCGCTCTTGCTACCGCTGCCTGTTTTGCTCGCTTAAATACGCGGCCGTGTACATAGGATCTGTCCTTAACGATCGCCGTCGTTGTTTTTCGAATGAATTTTTAACGAAAATCCGAGTCATTTTAACCTACTTCTTTCTAACGAACGTTATACTTGTATATCTTAGAGCGAATAAAAAGACGAAGAAGAAGCGTGAATTGTCCTGGATAGGCGTAAATAGGATTGATCCTATCTGTACGCGAACTCGAGCCTCCCGCAAAATTCTTATCTCGTCAAATTAATTGTACCTCCACGGTGACGACAGTTTTTTCAACGCGCATAAAACAATTTTTTTTTTTTTTATTATTTCACGATTATGTCCTGCGCGCTTTAAGTTCGGCGCAGCGTGCAAAAAAAAAAAAAACGTTCGAGTGCGAGCACTGCAATCATTATATTGTGTTTGCGCGTGACCGTAATTATACGCAGGAGGTGTGATTAAGATAAACTCTCGGTTAATACGAGGCGATATGTATGTATAAAGCTGCTATATATTTATGTGCTCTTTGCGTTCCACAATTGCGATGAATTAATTTGGAGGACGAAATAAAGAAAAAAAATAATAAAATGAAAAAAAAAAAGGAACGAAGGAAATTAAAAAAAAATGGTCAATTATAATAATAACGCTATTACCATTAGATTGTATTGTCGCGCGCATCGTTTCGCATAAGTAAGTGGCTTTTAAGGTGTATCCCCATATTTATGTTACACCGATCTTAGGCGCATGCATTTGACGCGTACGCTCGTGTGTCAGGCGCATTTTGAAAAAGCTCAGGCAGCCTCAAAATTACCAGATACGTGGAATTTACGCGGAAGTATTTATCAAGTCTATTCCAAGAGGCTTTCTTGGCGCGTACAATATTCGCGATTAGCATCTGTACGCGTTGCGATTTTATTTTATTTTTCAAAAATTTATGCAATACGCTCGTCGGTAGAGTCGCAGCCGAGTCGTGCAGGTGTATGTGCTACACGTATCGCGTTCTAGATGTATATACACGACGAGTCTCGTGCATTTTCCGCGAACGCTAATGTTTCTACTCTTTTGCTTTTTTAAATATACGCGTTTGATAAACTTTTTTTTTCTCCCTCTCTCTCTCTGCTCTCGACTCACTGCTCGATCGAACGAAATCGTCGGAATCGATCGATATCGACGTCGCGACCAAACACACATATACACACACACAGACTGGTGTCGCGATATGCTTACAAAACATTATATAGCTGATACGTATGTAACTTCGATGTACAGGAGCAGCAGCAGATATTTA